TATTGCCTGTGTCTATTGTGTTTCCAGCTTTACTGTAACAGGGGAATACTCGACTGTAGTTGGTTGGTTCTTACATTCTGATCCGGTTTAAATCCTCGGTGGAAACTAAGCCACTGGCGCTGCAAGCATGAAACAGACTAGAGTCCCTAGAGTAGAGACTGGACATACAGTGGAAGTGCTCAAAATGGAGGAATATGTGTGTGCACTTTTGTGTGTGGTTGGCTCCTGTGTCGTCACGTGTAAGTAACATGGTTTTTTTTATTAATATTACATCAATTTGTGATGAGTAATAATATATATACATATATATATAAAATACATAATATCCGTACAATTCGATGTAAAAATGAAACGAATAATATTGTAGTAATATTGTATCGTATGAGTAATATTGTACCTTTAAAGCATTGTGTTTCATGTGACACATTAAAAAACTGTCATAACATAAAAAATAAAATAATGATACGTTTTATTCGACTTCGACTTCAAATTGAAAATAATAAAAGCCAATTACCAAACAAAGTGTACAATAGTAAAACTATAGCAATGCATGCGACAGTACGATAATTCAAAGACATTTATTTATAAGTATTATAATGTAAAAATTTTCTACAAAAAATATATTTTCCAAAAAGTGATTATTATATAAAAAGTGATTAATTATAAAAAATTTTTTTTTAATGTGCTTAGTTATTATGTAATGAAAAATTTTCTATTTGTATTTTGATTAACAGGATGTTCCGATTTTAATTGTAATATGAAAATTTAATGTACTGAAGATGGTCACATGTTAGAAATATTTACTTAGTTTTATTTGAAATACATGTTTTAAGCTAAACACATCAAGCGTTGTGGCTGGATGCTCCTTATTGTTTACAAGTGATTATTTTGTTTGAATAATGAAACTTCTGTCCTTTTACATATGTATTTCTATATGTACTGCATTACGTCACATTGATTACATTTATTACCGACGATGAAAAATAAGCTTGTTCTTTTTAGTTGTATTTTTTGCACGGTTTAACTTTCCACCTTTTTCATACAATGCGAAGAGAAAAAGAGGAAAGATGAACCGAGATGCGAGAAATGCAAGAAGTTCAATTAAAAACAATAATGCTGGTTTCACACTATATTCGATTTGCGTCGTACGACGCTCTTCAACCAATCAGAAAACGGGATTCCGGTGGATTTTGCTTCATATCAACGGAATCCTGTTTTCTGATTGGTTGCAGAGGGTCGTACGACGCAAATCGGATGCAATGTGAATCCAGCATAAGCATTATAGTTCACGTCATGTGTACTATTCTAATTTTCCTCCCATTCGCGCTGAGTGAGCAAGGTTCCGTATTGATGCTGTCATTGTGAGAGCACAAGTCACGTGCACCAATTCCCGTATGTCCAGACTCTCTACTTTAGGGACTCTAGAAACAGACCAACCATAAGCAACCGTAATCGCTAATAACGCTGTAAGCGTGAATCGGACCGCGGCCTAACAATGATACTGATTAGCAGCACTTGCATCAGTGCCATAAAGTTGTTTACAATTGTATGCTTAACGTGTTGCATAAGCATTAACAATTTCCTGGTAATAGTATTGTTTTTATAAGGTAAATATGAAGGCCGCGACACAGACTTTTGCATAAAGCACAATGCATAATGCATAAACGAATCAAATAATCAGAATCTTTCCTTTCCTCTGATTCCATGGAAAAGAAGAATTTTGATTGGTTGATTCTCTTATGCACTATGCGTTATACAAAAGCTTGTGTCTGGGCTCTAACAGCGTAGTATATGAAACAAGTACGTGCGTCTTATAACTTTCATAGTGCTTTATGTAAGTTATTATTTAGGCGTTAGAGCCCAGACACACTCTTGCATAACGCATAACGCATAGTGCATAAGCGAATCAACTAATCAGAAGCTTTCCTTTCCTCTCATTCCATGGAAAAGAAGAATTTTGATTGGTTGATTCGCTTATGCACTATGCGTTATGCGTTATGCAAAAGTGTGTGTCTGGGCCCTAAGGGCTCTCACACATGAAATGCATAATAGAGCATAAGCAATACATAAGGCCGCTAAACCAATGCATCTTATGTAAATCAATATGGCGACATTATGCTAGATGCTCATTGGTCCAGCAGTCTTATGTTATGCTTATGCTCTGTTATGCATTTCATGTGCGATAGCCCTCACACAATATTTAGCTTGATAGGTTAACCTATTAATATAGGTTAAAATAAAAATATTCAGTACGTCGTTGATTCATTTTCTTAACAGCCGTATTGTACAGGCTCATCATAAAATAAAATGGCGTTTTGGAGCAATATCCCACTACTTTTGTTAGGGTAAAATACCAGTACTGTCATTTTCTCCAATATAGATTAAGGCGCTATAAACAAACGTTATGCCGCGTAATCCCGTTGTGATGAGATGTTCGTATTGACGAATAATTAATAAATAAACCTAAACATTTATTTATTTGCTTATTATTATATATTAATTTACTGCTCAATTCAAAATTCTGAATAAAAAATGTAGTTCTTCAATCCATTTTAATCCATTCTCAATTACTGGAAATTTAAACTACTTGTATAACAATATGTAAACATAAATAAAGTAATACAAATATATATTCATACATTTCATACTTAGGGTGAGGTCCCATGCAGCGGATCGTGCGTAAGCAGATTCGCGTATCGTCAATCACAGAATCATTCTCTTAGATCTGTTTGCAAATTTCGCAAGCATATCTAAGAGAATGATTCTGTGATTGGCGATACGCGAATCCGCTTACGCACGATCCGCTGCATGGGATCTCACCCTTATACATTACATACTTTTACACGTTTCAGATAAGAATGCCTCGAATGGAAAACAAGAAAGACTGATCGAGCTTCTTGGAATCGCGTTTCATTAACAGAAGCTTAATCAGATTTCTGAAAATATAATAAATATCTGGAATGCTTCTAAATATTAAGTAATTTAATCTATCCAAGTTAAAAACATTGCTATGTTACAAGGTTTTTATACATAACTTAACCTATCGAAGTTATTATTATCTTACAAATAGCTAAGACACTCGCCCCGGAAAATCGAGAGGTCCTAGGTTCGAATCCTGGCTGAGGTAATATTTTTCGCAATAAAAGTTTCTTATTTGAAATAGGGAGGGGGGGAGGGGGGGATTATATATACTCGCGAATGTCCGAACGTTTTGGCTCGCGATTATTAGCATCTCAGATTGATTGTGTTTTAATGTCTGAACGTTTCGGCGCACAATCACATTTAAGATTAATTAAATTCACGAATCAAGAATATTATATTATTTGAAATATACAACTTTGATCGATCCTAAGATAATGTCTACTATATTATGTTGTTACATTAACTCGGTCGATTTCTATTTCCTATCTTACAAATTTATTTTTAAAGTTTATTTTTATCTTAAAAATTATTCATAATGTGTTTTTGCAATAAATAGATCAACTTAATGTTATAACTAGCATTTCTTTTTTGTATGTGGCATATTACCCATGTTGGCATATTATCTATGTTTTAACACTTTCGTATTTCTTTATTTTTAATAACAAAAAATAAAAGTATTTGATTGCAATCTTACGCAAGTAATAGATAAAGGATAGAAGAAGTCACTTGGATACATAAAGGAAGAAGAAGATCAGTGTGTAAAATTACTTTAAATTGAACAAATAATTATTCAAAAATCTAATTTCGCTTAAGTGTGGCATATTCCTCCTATTTACCCTAATATAAAAAGTTTGACGAAGATTTAAAATTTAAATCAAACATTATTTTAATAAGAAGTAGACATGTTTTTAAAAAATAATTAAAATAAAATGAAAAAACTTTCAACTGAATAAAGCTAGTAGGACCAAATCAGCAGAATGGACTTATCAGAATTTTTAATACTCATTTTGTACTAAATTATACTATTAATGATAATGTTGTACCATTTCAAAAAAAATCGTGGCGGTGCTAGCTTAATATTAAGCTGATAGGACTAATTCAAAATAAAAAAAAAAAGAAGAAAAATAATTTCTAAAATCAATAGGATTGAATTTGTACTACCAAAAACCATTGTGTATTACCAAAAACAATTCTATATTATGTCATTTCCAAGAAATCAGTGGCGCTGCTAATTTAATATTTAAGCTAACAGGACCATATAAAAAAAAACACAAGAGCAAAAATTAACACAACTGAATTTGTACCATTGAAAGTTAATTTTATCCTTAAAATGACTTTATTAGTACATACTTACAATCTATGAGGCATTCCACGTCAAACCGGGCACTTTTAAAACATCATTTTATTTTTTTTTAATTTGCTAACATTCTACAGGTAAAAATATGAGACATATGTTTCGCGAAAAAAATTTGAGATTTTTTTGTGAAATTGTTCACGCTTGTAAATTGTGGAAATTCATAAAAAACATCGCTCATGCGAAAATTCAAATTATTATATCGTCGAAACTATTAGTCGTACAAAAAAATGCAACAGACCGATTTTAAAAATCTTATTGACAATCTAACAATTATTGAATAACCAGCGCACTACAAGCATATAAGAGTATAATGGGTCAAAGGTCTAACGTAAGAAGAAAAAGATGAACATCAACATATTTTTGTTAAAAAGGCTGAGAATTAAGTTGTACATCTAACAGATTAACTTTAATCTCAATTTAACTTATTCTTTTTTTAATTTTTTCTAATTCTTAAAACTAGAAAAAGAATGAAGAATTAGTTGAACCAAGATTAAAATTAAACTACTAATTGGTTATAAAAATGAGTATATGCACATTTCTACCAAAATAGTTTAAATCTCAGTTCTAGACTCTTCATCTTTTTTCGCTAACTCTAAGAATTAGAAAAAGATAAAGACTAAATTGAATTAAAATTAAAGTTAATCTACATTTGTAGAAACAGGCATTAGAAGAAAAAGTTGAATCGATTAAAGTTAATAAAAATTTGTAAGTCTACAGTGCTAGAAATGAGCATAGGTTAATCAAAATTTGGTAAAATTCCAGGGTTTCGAAATGCCTTGATCCATCACTGATGTCCAGGTACTTACGCACTGACGCACATGCGCGTTAAAAATCGCTCGCGTCTCCGACATGACATGATGATCAGTACAAAATAGCGATTCGTAGTGATTGGTTCGTGTGACATCCTCGGCGCTTGTTCAAAGCTAGTGTTTGCGTTTCTCAGCGGTAAGGGATACAACTCGATCCGTCTTAATGATACGCGAGATTTGATCGGTGTAGTGCGTTTCGAAAATCGTCGGAAAATCTCGTAGAAATATTACCGAGACATCAGGCGTAAAGTTAGGCGTAGATTCTTCAGTGGGAGCATTCGCTGATCGATTATCTCCACGAGGTTGAACTGGCACACGATAGATGGCCACCGATCGCAAAATATATATATATATTATATAATATTCCGTAGAGTTCTTATAACTTATAAGAACTCCAGAATTCTGCGCGCGCACGTTGATACTCATAATTACATCCGAATCACTGTTAGGGATGGATGAAAGAATAAATTTATTCAAATACGAATTTCACAAAAAAAAACTTTTTATAATATAATATATATATCTCAAAAATATAAATGATAAAATATATATGACTAATTAATTTTTAACTGACAAAATTTAAAGGTAACTTTGACCAAAGTTTTATTTTCTTAACTTGATTGATGGTTAGCTCATCAATGTTTATAGCAAATTTTTAACTAATATATTGTACCTTATCGTTTTTGATCTATTCCTCTTCCCAGTGAGAAATGACAATGGAATCGACGTCGAATCGATGTCGATTCGACATCGAAATCATCGAATTGACGTCAAATCGACGTCGATTCGACGTCGATTTCATTGTCATTTTTCACTGGGTTTTCATATCAAATTAAATAAAAAAAAAAGTAATTCTATCCTAGTTGACAAAATGTTAATATTTTTTATTAATTAACTCGATTAGATTAATTGCAGTCTGAATTTCGCCTCAAAGCTTAAATATAATAAACAATAATAAGAAATAGAGTTAAACAGGCAGAATTAGAAACAGGAAATACATTTCGACATATCTATAGAAAACCATGCTTTAATCCACAACAGATGAATAAAAATGAATAAATATTCGCCATATGTTCTAGTAATAAAATTTAATAATGTCAAATGAAAAAAATCGATATAGAGATTAATTGAATTTAAGATCAGTAAATTGATTTTTTAACAACTAGTATAAATAACAATCAACATCGATCAATGAGAATTTTTTTTACTCATTCTTAGGATGTGTAACATTGTTTATTTAGTGCGACTTTTGACAAGATAAATGAAATTTGGACGTAATATGACTGCAATCAAATAGAATCCATACCTGCTTCGATTTTTATTAAAAATTTTTTATTAAAAAATATCCAGCCATATCACTAAGTGTTTCGATACTAAGTATTATACATATATTAGAAGAAACAAAGTCGATCTTTCCCTGTTGGTTTATTTTACACAGAAGAATTGTACAGTCATCTTGTTTCAATGATAGCTCATACGTCCTTCCGAACACAATCGTACCATTTTACGATTTGTTTATATACCACGACGGTTTTACGCAATATTTCCAAACCCGATCATTATGTTATATGACGAATTATTTAGCTTAACTGTTTGATAAAATCGTTAATGAATCAAATACTTTTGTTACACTTACTTACAATTTATTATGGTGATGTATCTATACAGAGTGTCCCGAAATTCGAGGACAATATTATTATAGTGTGAAACTTCGTGAAAAATTAAATAATGGAAGTGCATTCCATTTTTTTCACAAAGTAGTTTTTTAAGTATAAATGTTTAAAGTTTAATGCTAAACGTTGGTTAAAAAGTCATTCGTCCATGTGACGTGCGTGATATTACACTAAAAGAAAAGATTGGTTGCTGCAACAAATTGGTTAAATATGGCATAGCAATTTTAATTGGCTGTAGCAACCAATTTTTGGTTTGTGTTAACCAATCGAAATCCTATACTGACATTGCGGATAGGCTAATACAACCAACAATTGGCTGCAGCATTCAAAAATTGGCTGTTGCAACCAATTAAAAATGCTATGTCATATTTTACCATCTAATTTGCTGTAGCAGCCAATCTTTTCTTTCAGTGTAGATGTCGAACACTTCGCGATCACTGACATGAAACAAAACATGTCTTATAAGTTAGCGGAAAAATGAGCAGAATAAAGGCCGCAGCACACACTCTTGCATAATGCATAATACATAGTGCATAAGCGAATCAACTAATCCGAATCTTTCCTTTCCTCCCATTCCATGGAAAAGAAGAATTTTTATTGGTTGATTCCTTTATGCACTATGCATTATGCGTTGTGCAAGAGTGTGTGCTGCGGCCTTTAATCCAAACTGATATTTTTATTTATTGCTCATTTGTTGCTAAAAAGTTGTGAAAGAAATAAAAATTTGTTGCTCTGCAGGTTCTCTTAAAAAATGATGTTTTGCTAAAGGAAGATTAAGTTAGTGGAACAATATACTTGTAACAAAGTCGATCTACGTAAAAATAATGTAGGAATTTGTTGCTAATTTGTTGCTATCGAAATATCCTAGTTTTGAATCCATTACTCACGAAATAAGTATAAATAACAACGAAAAAACCTCAGCGTGCTAACGGAACCAAAGTAAAGTATCAGTAAAACATATGTTGCTCGCTTAAAATTGGTACTGAGATGTCGTTTGAATTTGTTGTTCTCGAAATATGCAAAATTATGAATTTGTTGCTTGCAAAATAAGTATAAATAACAACGATATACCTCAGCATGCAACAAATTCAGACGATATCTCAATGCCAATTTTAACCGAGCAACAAATTTTTTACTGGTACGTTACTCTTGTTCCGGTAGCACGCTGAGATTTTTCGTTGTTATTTATACTTATTTCATAGGTAATGGATTCGTAGATAATGGAAAAGTAGGATATTTCGACAGCAACAGATTAGTAACAAATTTCTACGTTATTTTTACGTAGAAATCGACTTTTATATGTATATTGTTCCTCTAACTTTATCTTCCTTTATCGGAACATCATTTTTTAAGAGAACCTGCAGAGCAACAAATTTATTTCTTTGTTGCAACTTTTTAGCAACAAATGAGCAACAAATAAAAATATTAGTTTGGATTGATTCTGCTCACTTTGTTCCGTTAACTTAAGACGTAAACAAAACATTGCCACTATATTGAAAAAAAGGATTGGCTGCTGCAGCAAATTAGATGGTAAAATATGGCATAGCGTTTTTAATTGGCTGTAGCAACCAATTTTTGGTTGCGTCAGCCTATCCGCAAAGTCAGTATAAGATTTCGATAGGTTAACATAGCTAAAAATTGGCTGCTGCAATCAATTAAAAATGCTATGCCATATTTTATCAATTTGTTGCAACAGCCAATCCTTTTTCAGTGTATGTACTGTAGGATTGGTCAAACTTTAAACATTTATACTTAGAAAACTACAATACTTTGCAGAAAAAAATGGAATGCACTTTCATTACTTAATTTTTCACGAAGTTTTACGCTGTAATAATATTGTCTTCAAATTTCGGGACACCCGGGATACAAATCCTTCATTTTATTTATCTTTGCAATTACATGTTTACAAATAATTTAAAAAATCTCATAGTTTGTACAAGCATTCTTGTATATGTTTACATATTTTGAATAACAATCGTTCTCTACTTTAAATATGAAACATTAAAGCTAGAATTTTTTATTTGTAAATTTTGCCATTTTTATACTTTTTAACGTAATATAATTCAAATAATAAGAAATATTTTTATCAATGATAATTTTTGTGAATTTTGCTGCCTTCATATTCTTATAATGTATAATTCAATAATTAAATATAAATTCACGTAAATGCTATTTCTCAATTATAATTTTTTCGTAGGTATATGTTCCTTAGGAGGGAACTGAACAATTACGAGAAAACTGTAAATTGCGAGATATAAAGTTCCCGAATTCTTTTTGTTAAAGGGGGATTGAATTCGTAATACTATTCTTTCCCCCTTCTCCTTTCCTGTATCGGCAGTTTTAGGAGTGGGACCGGGACACATCGGAAATGCGTATTATAAAATTCATTGCACCCGTCGGATTCATGTACTTAACCCGAAATTTCGCAGGCACGTATTTTGATAATTGCTCTTCTCATCCCTCTCATCGTAACATCATTTCCCCTACTAACTAACGATAGACATTAATTTGATGATTATATATAATTACTGTCGAAACAATTTTTTTGTAAAAATTACTAGGCTTGAACTTGAGAGAGATGAATTTACGAAAAATTTTCCATAATATTTCATTCAAATCAATCGCCTCAATAAATTTAATTCGCAATAGTGTGTTCTCGATATTTCATTTTGATTTCATAAAATACATATTTCATCTCGATTAATACTGCAATCATATAAGAATATTATACAATTCTATTTTATTTCATCGGATATCGCTTCATTGTGCCGATTTGTATTGTTCGTGATGCTTTAGCAAACGAAAAAAAACTATGACATCGAAAGCGAGTTTTAAATATAGCAAAATTGAGCATCTAAATTCAAAAATATTCTAAAAGCATGATTATTATTATTTTATCGACACATTTCTTAATCTATTAACATGAATACAAATCACATTTCAATTCTTTTAAAATATCGAGCGTTTTCTTCTGTAAAAGTTATGCTGTTTCAATGTAATTATTTACTATAGTTTACACAAGGAAAAACTAAACATGAAGTATTTGTTTCAATGAATGCAATTTACGATTAATGTAGATATAGAAAATAAATTAATATCAAATTGTGAAAAATTTTTTAAAATACAATAATTAACAGTATTTGTCATTTGCAAGACGCAATGTCGATATCTATCTGCCACATTAATAACTTTCAATGCTCCCGCCGATTATAGTTGTAGCAGCGATGAGCGGAAACAAGGATTACAAATCGGCCACGTCGATTTACGACTTTACGGCGAACTCCATCAGGGGAGAGGAAGTCCCTTTGTCCAAGTAAGCATAAACCCGACCGCGTCGCGTAAAGTCACATTATGAAAAAGATGTAATATCATCTCTTGTTGATTTAGATATAAAGATCACGTGTGCTTAATCGTAAACGTCG